CCTCCATAGGTTGACCAAGGTTGTGCCAGTCTTTCTCACTAGGACGCTCCAGTGTCCATCAAGCCCCACATCTTAGGGATTATGCCTTATCCTAGACAACTCACATGATCTAAGAACCCATGGATTCTCTTCCATGGAGTCTGTGATTTTCCTTCTCATAGACCCTGTCTATCTGGAGGGCTCGAGGAACCCACCCCTTCCCCATCCATAGATACAGGATATCCAGCATAATGCTTGCTGTTAGCTGAGTGTCAAGTATACCTCTTGTGCCAGACTATAAAGGAAGTTTGTATTCTTTATCCCAGAGTAACTCGGTAAACCTCTTAAACTATCTACTCTCTGATCTGTAAAACATGTCTAGAAGAATTAATGAATGAATGAGCAGTGTGCAATTCATCACTCGGATTCTATGTTCCACTATACTCCACCTACATTTGAAGTGTGTGTAGTTCTTTGATTTGTAAAGTCACAACTCACGGTTCCTTCTACATCGAATAAAACAAACAAGCTATTAGGATCCTTGGGATCCCTTAATCTGTCTGTTGCTTTAGGGAAGTATCTCTCTCAGAATCTCCGCAGTTTGTGTCTATCAGGAGTTGAGGGCTAACTGGAAAGCTTAGTCAGCACATAAGTCTACCCCTTGGCTCTGGAGGCTTTAGCTTTCTAAATGACTCTTTAAGGGGCAAAAGCATGTCCCTCCTATTACTGGGATATGAATAAGACTTACCCAGTGGTACAAGCCTGTAATCCCATTATTTTAGAGGCTGAGGCAGGAAAATAGCCTTAAATTCAAGGCCAACCTGGGATTCACAGTGAGTTCTGGGATAAACTGGACTACAGAATGAAACCCTGTCTCAAAAATAAAACAGACACCCAAACATCCAGTTAGTGGTCTCCATCTAGCAGTGACATAGTCTACCTCCCTCATCATGAAGTCAAAGAGATCATGGTAAAAAAGAGATCAGGTTTGGATTTCAAATATACCCTCATTTCTCTAGACATTATAGCTTATCCAAAAACAAGGTCATTAATTCCTATTTAACAGACCTCTCTGTGAATGAAAGTAACAGTTAAACAGAAAGCTCAGCAGCAAATAGAATATTCCACAGGGCCTGTTACAGAGAAAGGAGAAGAAATGCATAACTTCATTCTCTTCCCCTTGAATTCTCTCCTTTGTCCACGCCCTCACCTTCAGTTTCCACTCTAGGGCAGGTTCTTATTCTATTCCCAATCCCTTCCCTCCATTGGTGGAGGGAAAATGCCATGGCAGGACTGGGACTATCTGAAGCTCTGCCGTGAAACTGTGTGTGTGTGACAGGACTGTCTGAAGCTCTGCCGTGGAGCTGTGTCTGTAAGTGTGAATCTTACACACCACACACACACACGCTACACATATGCACATACACCCAACACACACTCCATATTTATTAGCTAGAATATACATATAATTCAAGTATTGGTTTACTTTCCCCAGCATTCCTTGATTCACCTCCCTTTTTAAAATTTGTGTGAACGATTAGTCTGCATTTATGTTGGTACAATGGCACGCATGCCTGATACCTATGGAGGCCCCAAAAATGTGTAGGACTCCCTGGAAGTGAAGTTAAAGGCAGCTATGAGCCACCATGTGGGTGCTGGGAATTGAACCTGGGTACTGTGAAAGAGCAGCCACTGTTCTTAACTAGTAAGCCATCTCATTAGCCAGCTTTGACTTTTTTTTAGTGAAATAAAAAGAATTCCTTTCTATGTGGTAAGAAAACAAAAGTATGGTTTTCTAGTTTATCTGGATAGGTCAAAACCCATAAGCATATGTCTGCTTTACCTGCTTATGGTGCAGGTCACCCACAAAGACCAGACCAATGGAAATAGCAAGAAATAACAACTGCTTACCTTGATGAACAGCTGAACACTCACAAATCACTTTCACATCCATGTTAATTTTGAGTCATGAAATCTCAGCCCTGGGCAGCTGAATCTCAGAGATACTCAATGAATTCCCTGAGCTCTCAGTGCTGCAGAGAATGTAAACCAGAGCCCACTGCTAATTCCTCCCAATAGTTTGAATATGAAATGTTCCCAGTGGCCTGTGTGTTGAAAGTGAGCTGCCTTGTTTGTAAGACTATTGAGAAAGTAGTGTCTCCTTCAGGAGATGGGACCTATTGGAAGAAAGCTGGGTGAAATGAGTGGGGACCTGGGATTGTAGCTTCTCCTTGTCTACTGTATTTGCTTCCTATCACAAATGGCATGAGCAGCCCTCTCTGATAGGAGTCCCTGCTAGGACAGACTGCCTCAGCATAAACCCAAAAGCAAGAGAGCCAACGAGAGCTATCGTCATAGACATTTTGTTATAGCAATGAAAAATCAACACTACTGCTGCACATTCTCTTCCTGTCAGACCATACTGGAAAGCAAAAGATACTGCAGAACAGCTTTTCAATTAGAGGCACTGCTTAAGATTCAGCTATAAACTTCTGGAATAGGAAGAATGCCAAGTGCCTGGATGGGCATAGAAGAATGAAAAATGTGAAAGGTGAGTCTAGGAAACTGAGGCAGCTAAAATTAAAAAAGAATGACACAGTTGACACTTCAGCTCAGTAGTACAACACTTGGCTAGTATGCACGAAGCACTGACTTCAATCTCCTTTACTAAAAGTGAAGAAAATTTCATCTATCTCTGAGCAAAACTCAAGGGTATGCCGTGAAGGGCTGACAAGAGAAAAGACTGCAGTGGCAGACCTCAAGAGAAGGAGGTGGGGGCTAGAGAGCCTGAGTGCTGCATACACTCAGTAGGTAAGAGTACTTGCTACTCTTGCAGGGGACTGCAGTTTAGTTCCTAGTGCCCATGTCAGAGGGTTGGCTTCAGCTCTATGGGCTCCAACACCCTCTTCTGGCATCCTCGGGCACCTGCAGTCACACGTGCACATACTCACACATAATTTGAGTATGTGTGAATAAGTAAATAAATAACACTTTTACATTAATTAATTAATCAATTATATCTTTACAAAAAATGAAAGATATGCTGCTTTATGCATTTATTCAAAGTCTACTCTGTGCCAGAAAGAGGCACATAGGTCCTTTCCTTGGCACAATCCCAGTGACCCAACTCATCACTCTTTCTCTGCATTTCTTGTCCCTAACTCGGCCTAACAACAGAATCCTTGTTCCAACTTCTCAACAGTTTCCAACAGATCTTTTCCCCCAGTTACATACCAAATTCCTAATACTTAATTTTTGTCCTACCTTATGCTCATGTGTTTTGCATGTGTGTATGTAGTATATATTGTATGTGACATATGTGGAGTTCATGTGTGGTAAATATGTGGTGTACGTGAGATGTGTATATGGTGTGTATGAGATGTTCATAATGTGTGCTGGGGAAATCTTGCTTATGTAGCCCACGCTGGCCTTGAACTTCTGCAATCTTCCTGTTTCAGTCAACAGATTACTTAAAGGTATATGCCAACACACCTGGATCATTTCTGTTTATAAGGACTTTTCAATTTAGATTTTTTAATTTTTCACATTGATTTATTTATTTGTGCATTGTATATGCACACAAACACCTGCCCCATGCACATGTGAACACAAGCTTTCCAGGAGTTGACTCTTTCCTTCTACCATGTGGGTGAGGTCAAGCTTTCCAGGAGTTGACCCTTTCCTTCTACCATGTGGGTGAGGTCTAGCGAGGAAATTCATGTTGTCAGGTTTGGTAATAAGTATTGCCTTTACCTGCTGAGCCATCACACTGGCCCATCTCCTTCATACTGGTATCCTCAAAAGACAAGAACACAGTCTTTCCCTCCACGGTTTTGTTTTGTTTTTTTGTTTTTGCTTTTGTTTTTGTTTTTTGCATTCAATGCACAAGAGATGATCAGTATTACAAGTTCACAAAGATCCCAGAAGTCACCCAACCATTCAGACTCATTGTATAGGTACCCCTCCCTGTTACACACCTGCAAGATACGCACCATTTTCTGAAAAGAAAGCTAGTGGCTCGCAAGGAAAAGTGATGGTAGGGTGCGATTGATCGCATTTGGTGTCTTCTGACTGACATATCAACCCTGGGCCCAATAAGGTGCCAAGGAAGTACCACTGGTAAATCCAGACCAACTTCAGTTACAAAAGTTGAATCTGAACTCTCAAACCCTCAAGGACATTTGCATGTATGTGTGTATATGGTGGAAAGGAGAAAAGAAAAGGAAAGGAGAAAAGAAGGAAGCAAGAAGGTAAAAAAAAAAAAAGTAGAAGAATAAAAATTATCTGCCTGAAAATGGTGCTGGAAACAGAGGGACATTCTACATTAAGGAGACATTCCACCTCCTGTTTCCCATTATACAGTCTTCAGTTCTCTTCTCATTCAGGGGACCTGCAGCACAGATCTGCCTTGCTGATTGATTCAAGTTTAATTCATTTATGTAATATCCCTGTTCAGAACAATGTCTAATTAACACTTTAGTTGGGGAGAATAAAACCTCTCATATTCATTAATGAAAAGGGGAAGAGAGGAGAAGCTTTCCCAGGCAACAACCCAGAGTCTGCAGGGCTGTTTGCTGCCTCTATCTTAGAGATGTCTTAATGAGACATGTCGTCATAATGGGATTATTGCTCTCTTTGGGCTGGAAGAAGCAAATGGAGCTGAGATCAGCTAGGGGAATGGACAGTCAGTAGTACATGAGTCAGCACACACACCCCTAATTCTGAATTTGAAACCTTGATTCTGGACCTTGATTCTGGAAGCCTAACCCAGGGAAGGGGTACATAAGTAGCAAGGCACTCTCTGAGCTGCAGGATAAAATTCCAGGTATGAATCCACTTCTTCCTGGATTCCTCAGCTTCCCCAGGCTTTGCAGAGAGAGATAATATCATAGATTTGTTTATGACTGCACAATTTAGAACAGGGCACTTTATAAATGTTAGTTCACATTTATAAAGAACAAAGAGCAAAAAACACCAACACTATCTAATAGGCAAAGACTCAGAGAAATCAAGAAACTCACCCAAAGTCAAAGAGATAAGATAAACAATGGCTAAGCGTGGAGCCCACATCTTCTAATTCAGAAACCTGGGCTTCTTGGGGAGCAGGCTTGATTGGCAGTTCATTAGACATGTGCTATAGCTCTCCAGAGGCATTCCTAAAGCCCTGCTGGGGATGAATGCAAAGAGGGTATGAAGGTATGAACTTCATCTTCCAGTGACAGAGGACTCATCTACTCATCTAAAAATCATCATGAAATCATCTAAGTATAAGTCTAGGGCTAGAAAGATGGCCCAGTAGTTAAGAATACATACTGCTCTTACAGAGAACCCATGTCAGGCAACTAACAACCACCTATAACTCCAACTGCAAGAAATTTGATGCCTTCTTTTGACCTTTGCAGGCACCTGCACTCTATCTATACATAGACACACAAGTACACATAATTTCTTTAAAATATATCTTAAAATATTATAAAATTATAATTATAAATTATGTTAATTTTAAAATTATAGTAAGAGTAGTGGCAGACTGTCAAAGGAGTCTATGGCCCCACTATAAGATTCAGCAATGTGGGGTCCATCTTTGACGATGGTTTCTACTCTGGGTTCTAATCCCAGTGTTCACATGAGTGACCTCTGGTGACCTGTTTGCCCTGTTTGGTCTTCTATTTTTATGCCTGAAAAAGAAGAAACATAAACCATGCTTTGCCCAACACATGAGGATTTGTTGAGGTTCAATATGCATAAAGAGTAAGAAACTGTAGCCAAAAGACAACACTGAGAAGGAATTATTTTCACAGCTTATCATTCTACATTTAAAATATTTGTACCCATGTGCATTAGCTCCTGAAAATATAAATTAAAATTTCACAGGAATACTTTAACCTACAGGTTATACATTTTACACATATAATCTCACTGAATTCTCTGGGCGGTCCTGCATGGTAGAGATAAGTTTTTCCAATTGAATATGAGACAACTGAGACTCAGCAAATTCAGGTACGTCAGCCAGTGTCAGATATGTGACTGAATATTAAATAGTCTATGGTTACAATTCTTTTCTTTCTGATTTCAGAGCTGCAATCTCATACATCCCTATGTTAAGTATAGATGCTTATTCTATCTTAAAAGCTAAGTGTTAAGAGATGAAAATGCTATATGTTGAAGAATAAATTTCACTATATTGCTACTGATAGGGGCTGAAACTTTCCCCATCATTATCTAAACATAGGACTCCTGTAACTATTTGCCTTACAGTCAGTTCAACTGTCCACTGGCTGCCTAAAGAAAATTGTTTAAAAAATTATATAAACACATACAAAAGTATATATACATACTTTTAAATGCATTTATGTGTATACACACTTGGGAGGATGGTGGTAGCTTTTTTTTCTTATAGAAAGAGGGAGGGAGAATTAGGATGGCTACTGAAAATGTTGTCCTGTGGGACTGGAAAAATGGCTTGGCAATTAAGAGCACTGGTTGCTCTTCCAAAGAGTTCAATTCCCAGCAATCACAGAGTGGCTCACAAAAGTCTGTAGTAAGAGCTGATGCCCTCTTCTGGTGTATATGAAGACAAAGCACTCATACATAAAATAAATAGATAAATATTAAAAAAAAAAGAAAAAGAAAATGCTGTCCTATGGTCTGGCAGTATGGAGACACAACCAGACAACTTGCCTCACACAGTCTTGAACATACAGAAGATTCTTCCTTTAATTTTGCTGCCTACTGCCCTATACAGCCAACCCATGTCAATTCCTCTGGCTTAGACTACAGTCCAAGGCAGGCAAAGGTGGGCTATCTATGCCTCTTCACATGTCCACACTGAGCACACTAAGCACAGTTATGTGCTTAGTAAAAGCTTGTGTCGATAACCACCAAGATAAAGATTATTTATTTTAACTTCAATGGAAGCAAAGCCCTTCTGCACAGGCTAAGTCTCACCACACAGTGCCATACAATAAAACACACACTAATGCTTGGAGAAGGTTAGGCTGAGCAGCTAGCCTGTCATGAGTTTACCTCCTGGAAGACGGAGATAATACCTACTCAAGGAATTGTAGTGGAAATTAAGCACAGAATTGTGAACTAAAGGGAAAATCATTATGTATCAAATACCTTTTTAAAAACAGGAGACTAGAGACCAAGGATGCAGGATGCATATTACTGTCACAGTACTTGCCCAGCATGCACAAGCCCTTGGGTTTGATAGCCAGCCAAATATTAAAAGGAGAAAAATAAATTTTAAAAAATTGTTATGTGAGAGAATGCTGTAGTCCTCAAAACTTCCAACAGGAAAATGCCTCCTGGGCTTTGGGTCCCCAGCATCAGAAACTGCTTTACTCAGCATGGTCACCATGCCTTACAGAAAGCCTGGCACATCAACAGATACCCTAGAGAGAGTCCTAAAACTTGCTGCACCCAGCTTTGGGAGCAACTAAAGATGAGAGGAATAGCCCAAGTTCTTCCTAAATTCTACTGAATTGGCATCAACTCATTTCTAGCCATTCTAGAAGGGGCATCTCACACAGCTCCATAATGCCACCTTCTCTGTCACTGCCACCCCAGCATTAGGTCGGCTTAAATAACAGAGGGGTTAGAGCAATTACCATGCAGTTCACTCTGAAGACTCAGGGGACCATGAGACCTTGAGCAGGCAGACAATCCCAACCAAGTCACAACTTGGCTAGGGTAAGTTTTATGGGCTGATTTTATAAGAGGTGAAGGTCAAGGATCAATGGTGGAGGAAGAGAGAGCAGACAGAACAATCTGTCTGGAATATTACAAACCTGCTGGCAGGAGCAAGCGGCCCCACCTTGGGGACTACGGAGTAAATAGATGGGACAGAAGTGGCAGAAATAACATGAGCCCTGCTAAGAATGGACAGGGGACATAGGAGCACCAATCTTTTCTGAAGTTTCTAGACTATTCCCCTGGGGCTTCCCCAGCCCTGTTCCAAAGACTGAAATCCTATATATTAATTTACCCTGGAGGTAACAGCTCCTCCAGACATTCTAATAAGACCTGATTTCTGCTCCTCAGAGCTTCTTAGTCATGCTACCCACATACTAATTCAGCATCTCCTGTCTTGCTCTGAGAGGGCCTACTATGCACCAAGTTACCAGTTGGTCCTGCTCCACAACAGCTGTATCCTTTCTGAGAAAAACAAACAACAAACCACCAGCCAGTCTGATTCTAAAGCCACTGTTCTGTCACGTCTTATCGGAGGCTTTGGATAAGTGGCTTAACTTCTCTATGTGTGCTAGGTTCCTCCTGTGTAAATAATGAGGCTAATTTAAAGAAATCTCCTAAAATCACTGTGAAGGTTAGAATATTAATGTCACTTAGGAAGGCACTACCAACACATGGTTAGTGCGTGAGGAAAACAACACGCAGAAATTCACTCAAGATCCAGCACATGATTTTAATCAAGTTTGTCTGACTTTAAAACTCATGTTCTGCCCAATTTTGGTCTTATCTCTTCACATCTCCCAGAGGATGCTATCTTCCACCTCTAACAAACCCTCAAAGAGTAGCATCTCCAGACCACCTTTGTATGTACTCCATGGGACCCTAATGGTGTCAGAACAAGGAGAAGGAATACTTTTAGTTTTCCTGCCTATCAGAGCATCAGCAGACACAGAGAAAAGGGACAGACATCACAGAGGCACTGGAGAAGAAAGCCCTGATGGCAGCCATTTCCTTTCCCCTGCTTCTCACATGGCCTCTGACCTCCTTTTGAGACCAAGATTCCCCTGAGAGAATATTAGGGCCCCAAGCTCCAAGCAAATAAGTGCACCAATCTGTCAGTGCAGCCAGGTTAAGAGCAAATCTGCTTCTACAGAGTCCTTGGAGTCATGGTGAGGACCCTTGAGCACCCTGTTACCACAGTTAACCCCGCATGCCTGCCTACTGCTCTTCCTCCTGCTGTAGTTCTGCTTCATTTCCTAGCTTCTGCAATCTTGTTCCAGGCCCCTTTTTTCAGTCCCACCAAACTCTCCTGCATTGGAGAGTTCTCTTTTCCATTTTCCCTTTCTTACTGCTTCCTCCTTTCCTGTTCATATACACACACATGCCTTCCTCCATTCCTCCACCTCACTAAACAGAGGTGTTTGTGTCTTGGTGAGAAAGCTTGGGAAACTCCTAGGAGGACAAGGCTAGCATTAATGTAGCCTAAGTGTGCCACTTGCTAACACTGAACAGGAAGACAAGTATAATTTAAAGTTTGTAGAGTAGGGGCTAAGGGGAAGTCCATCAAGGATGCTGTTTCCACACAGAGGCACCCAAAAGCTTTCTGTAGTCATCAGAGGTCAGTTTGGTGACAGGTACCTGCCACTCATACCTAGGCTGCCACATGTGTTGTTACGGAAGTCTAAATGGAGGACCTTGCTGGAATGACTTCTTCCTATTAGAGCAAAAATTCCAACTTCTGAATCTCTTAGCTTCATTTAGTTAACCTCCAGTTAGAATCCTGAGGCCACTGAAACCGAAGGGAGGGAGCCTGCCATAGGGAGAGGATCTAATCTCTTTCTCCCAGCCTGCCTCCTTCTTCAGTTCTCCTCTGGACACTTCCATTCTCATGTATGGTATTCTTTTTTCTTTCTTTTCCTTTCTTTCTTTTGTTTTGTTTTAGGGTTGTTTTGCTTTGGTTTTGTGTTTTTGTTGTTTTGTTTTGAGTCAGGGTTTCTCTCAGCTGTCCTAGAACACACTTTGAAACTCACCAGGCTGGCTTCGAACTCACAGAGGTCTACCTGCCTCTGCCTCCTGAGTGCTTGGATTAAAGGCATGCACCACCACTACCCAGTTCAGCTTTCATTTATAGTTTTCTATAGCTGGAGCTGAAGACCTTGCCACAGTCACCCTCAGGGCTCCAGCATACTTACGATAAAGGTCCCAGGCCCTTGTCTCTACTCTTTTCCTTCTTTTACTTCCAAGCCCCTTTTCCCCAGATGATGTTAAAAGAAGGGGTAGCTTTCCTTGAAGTATTACTTGAGCTCTCTTTTCCATTTTCTGAAATTGCACTCCTTTCAAGAAGTCTTCCAATTGACCTGACCATAAACATGAAAGAGATCTAGGGAATTATTTAACTCCAATTGTGTGTGTGTGTGTGTGTGTGTGTGTGTGTGTGTGTGAGAGAGAGAGAGAGAGAGAGAGAGAGAGAAT